ATCTAACACTGTATTTAACTGTAGGTTTGATTTTGTTGTTTAATTCAAGAGGTGTCCTTTTCTTATACCTTGTTTAAGATTACAAAAACAAAAAAATCATTCATTTATTAAAAAAAAATTCGAACTACATAAAACTTCATTACGGTATATTTTTCTCTATTCCTTGTTGTTAAATCAAGATTTAATTGAACATTATCTGGAATTTAAGCCATACACTGCACATGTATGGACATTTCAGGTTAAAGTATTACTTTGAATGAAATCAAGAAAGAAATTAAATTTTAAAAAAGTCGCACCTTACATGAATATCCATCACACGATTGCTCTTTTCAGTACAAGAAAACTCCTATACGGGGAATTCAATTGGTCTGCAGGGGATGCTTACTTTTCCATAGCACCTGATTCCATATCTAATTTTTTAAAGGTTCACTTTTGTTTTGCTCCCGATGTCATAAAAGTTATCTTTAAATACGTGTTTATTTTAATGGCTATATGTTTGAATCCCCCTTTTCCTCTCTCTATGCACTTTATCATACCATGAATTTTTGGGGATCGTGTTTTATCACTTGTTCAAGAAATTGAATTTTCCGTTGATTTTCTAAGGTCGTCTAATGTTCTTTATCTTCAATTTCTTGATATCAGCGACTTATGAATTGTCTTTTATATCTTTTATTCTTTTTATCCAGAAAAAACAGCAGTTACTAAATTAAAAAAACCTAAATTTTGCATTGCCTGTGATATGTTTTTTTCACTTCGTATGTATAAAAGATATAAAGCATACAGTACTTAATACGACGAGTACACACAAAGTGAAGAAGATGTGATAAAACTCATTTTCTTTAAATAAAAAAATGAACAGGAAGGTTAAGAAAAAAAAATTCGATTTTAAGAAAACAAATGAATTAAAAATGATGTTCTCATTGTAGATAATCATAACTGTGCCAATTGATGAATTGCTGTTTAAAAGAAGATTATACCGCAGAGTGATAAATCAGGTGGCTGAATAATATGTCATTAAGAAATTTTTATCTTAATGAACTCCCTCGTAAACCAAAGTTATATACAAAGTGTCATTTGTAATTTTATTATTGTGGTAAATGATACAGAGATAACCTCGAACTACAAACCTTTGTGTCATGGTCTGACCTTTAAATATGGTTGGAAAAAGATTTAAATTTACTACAGGAATTGGTATTTAACGATAAATAAGTTTATTATTAGGACACAATGGGTATACACATCTAAGAGGTTAATCTCACAAATCATTGTTGGGATTAAACTATGATTAAGCCACCTTACTCCCACTAGTGTTAGACGTAAAAAAAAAATATTCATGGTATTTTACTTCATAAACTAAGTGCTTGAACTTTTTTGCTTGGATAAAATATACTGTATCAATATCCTCTATATCAACATTTTGCTTGATAAGACTTAGTTAAGAAAAGATATAAATCTTAATGACTTCTGAACCAAAAAAAATGTCATTTAAAACATGTTCCGTCTTAAAAATACATCACTGAACAATGTTTTATAGAGCTATTTTTAGAAGATAGACTCAGGTTTAAGCTTTTTTTTCGTCTATTAGAAGAAAGATTCAACCATACCGTAAAGATAAATTAAAAAAAAATATTCAGAAATAATTTTTCTGTTTCCTAGATATTTGAAATTATGAAGAATTAAATGATTAAATTAAATGATTAATATTGAAATTATGAACATAACCTCATGTTGTGCAGAGTAAATCAGTCCAAGGTTGTTCAATGTGATACAGGAAATTCAATATAAATTATAGTCTCTTCAATGAACAAATATAAATAGAAATCAATCCTATTTTTTCTTTACAATTTACAAAATTATGAATAGGAATGACAATAAATCAAGAAACAACAAAGGTTTACCATCTTTGTGCCAAGCATGAAATTCCAGTGATTTTTCGTGCAAAAATATCACCTGGAAAGAAATTAAATACTTATTTGGGGGGGGGACCTTGTACTTGCCGATAGACTTTAGGTCTAAGTTATGTCACACCACACGTAAAATACAATCAGTATACCAGGATAGTACGAGAGTTTCTCCATGACAATGATACATTCCGCACAAGATTGCAAAGAAAAGAATGTTCATCTATATATCATCGAAACTTTGCTGGAGTATTAAAACTTCAGCTATTATTCAACTTTATTCTAGAATGTATTTGGTGACAAATGCATTGTGTCGACCACTGACCACTGACATAAGTTTGCAAAAAAAATTAATTTGAGGAGGGTGCTGATGATATTGTTTTATATTGTTGCATTACATAAATGAGGAAAGTTGATTTCAATTTTACGCGTTTTTCATATTATTAGCCGGGCTTATTGCTCAAAGAGCAATTTTATCCTGTTCAAGACAGGATTTTAGTCGCCATTTTAAAGCTACGTGTAAAAATATAGTTCTTACTCTCAACCGCTTCTGAGATAATACAAACGCTAAATAAAGCAACATAAATAAAACGAAGTTTTATCTAAATAAATAAACATTGGTAGTAATGACCTTGAAAACTTCAGTCTTAAGTCAAAGAACATAGTTTATTAGCGTAAGGATTTCGGATAATCAGTGTTATCGTAGTTCTCTACACTAACGAGGAAAAACAGGAGAGGGAACCAGACTGGCCTGTTTGTTTACATTCATCCGCAGAACCAGATTAAGTTTGATTCTGACAAAATCGGACCGTAATATTTGGATCGAAAACTCACTGTCAGTGTCTTATAATTTATATTGCTAGTTTTAAAAATAATTTTTTCATCAGAATTTTTAATCTGATATTCTTGTTATTTATTTGTTAATACAATATAAACGTATGATTCATGTAAGAAATTCATTTCACTCTGTAAATGAGCCCGGCTCTCTGTACTTCTAAGTACTTTGATTTTTCTAATGTACAATCAAGTCTGTTTTGTAAAATGCCCAAATATTAAACAAATGTGTCATATCAAGAATTATATTAAGTTTACTGGGACTTATCTGGCTGGAATGAATATAGAAGAACCAGTTGTCAATTGATCGACTTAAGCAGCTTATAAAATTTACCTTATATATAATTTTACACAAAATAAATGATTTAAGAATCTTAACCAATCCGACAGTTTTCGAAGCAAAGTTTATTTTTCGGAAAAATGCAATAAAAACTCTACAAAGTCCAATATCAGAACTGCTATTGAAATAACCAATTGTCTTTAAAATATTCATCTCGGTTTAAAGAAAAAATTTGGCCTTCTTTTTGAAAAGAAGGTGCAATATTATACCATGTCTGATTACTATCTGAATATATTTTACTCTTAAAATAATTAGCTGATAGAGGATTCTCAAAATATTTTAAAAATCAATTAATCTGGTTTTCATTCTTTTTATTCTTCATATATATTGATATATTAAACTGAGATCCAAATCAGGAACAAAAGTATTATACTTTGAGAAAAATAATTATTAACAAATTTGATTGATTGATTAACTGATTGAGTGTATGTTGTTTAACGTTCCGCTCGAGAATTTTTCACTCATACGCTATCACTTGCCGGTGGAGAGTTACAAATTTTGTCCTTTGCTCGGTTCTCAGCCCCATTGAGCAGGGAAGGTTTTTTTGTACGGGCCCTCGGTTTTTACGTCTCACCCAAAGGACTAGTCTTTATGTCCCACCGTGGGATTCGAACCCGCGACGTAAGAATCAACTCTTTACTTCGTGACTCTATAGAGCAGACGCTCTTACCACTATGTCATGCGCGCAACTTACAAATCTGAACAAATGTTTCTTACATATATTAAGTTAAACTTTATATTCACGCTGATGTAAGCCTTTCAATAAAAAAAACGGAGATATTATCATTATGATTAAGATAAAATCCAAACATAGGAAAATTGACCTTTTGTGGGTCAAATATACTTAATAGGTGTAATTTGATGACAAGGAGGTTGACAGGAAATGCTAACGACTAACGACAATTTCAGGAGGTCAATTCTGCTCTCTTTTATGGACACATTGGATATTTGAAAAAAATAACTGTTTCTTTTTTTCATATTCTCTGTGTTTATATCTTAATTAACAGTATACACTTCGACAAATTAACACCCACTCAGAAGTCCCTATAACGTCTGAGGAAGTGTGGTTTTGTACTTGTGAATTTCACGGCCTTGCTTATTGTCGTTGATTTCCGGTCATTGCTTTAACCTTCTTTACCTTGATCAGGGAAATCAAGACTAGACTTGTCAGTGTGCGGATATGAAATTTGTCGACTACTTTATTTTTAGACAAAGGGAGGCAAAATATATTTCCTTCGTCTTGTAAATGGAACTCCTAGTTTTTTTTTGTTTTTTTTGGAAATGTACTTTTGCCTGTTTTCCATGAAAAGAAAGGGTATGGCAATTCATGTTCTAACCTTAGATGAAATTTTCCAATATCCATTGCTAAAAAAACAAAGTTTCTGCAATTTATAAATCAGAAGACAACAAATTCATTCACAAAAATTATGTAGCGGCTGAAATAGAAACAATGTCAATATGCCTTTTAAATTAATTGTATTATAACTATAATTATAAACTTGATATATCACAATGAATATTTGGTGAAATTATCAAAATGAAAAACTCATTGTCGTAAATTCATCTGGTCTTCTATTGAAATATATCCTGTTTTTTTTTTTACATGTATTTTCTTTTAAATTTTATATTTCATGCACAATGTACATTTCACAATGCTTCAATTTCCACATATTGATCAATGATGATAAAGGGAAAAAAACTTTTAAAAAGTTTACAATCAAATAAATCACATAATCAAAGTCACGTAGGCGTGTCTTAACTACCATATTTTCTAATTGACATGCATATTTTATGTGAATAAATCAAAATCTCAATCCCATATCTGAAGACAATTACTATTTTTGAGACGCCCAAGCAGAGGAAAAGAGGTATGCTTTCTTGAGCCAGCCCCCATTACAAAGAATACAATAAAAAGACACAGTGCAAACAACATGCAACAGTTATCGTGTAGACACTCAAAGTAAAACATATCACAATGTATGCAGTCTTGTTGATTTCTTGCTTTTCTATCGTGGAAGTATACTCCGCATCCATACAAAAGAGGTCTTGCTCTGTGAAAATTGATTCCGACTTTGTGACTGAGAAGGTGAGTGCTGCGTTTAAATAATATATCTATTTTTATCCAACATCCCTAACAGATTTCCATACCCTTATTTGCTGAATAAATTGCAAATGTGCTTGTGCTTATATATATAAAAAGATTTCTCGACTTATATATTACTCTGTTTATACAAAATGTCATGTCAATGACGTATATATCAGTACTTAATTCATGTAAAGTTTAGCATTGGGCTATAAATGATTTGAATTATCTGTCTGCAAATGCATTTGGTTTATGAAAAAAGAAATATTCAAACAAAAGCTGATTTTGCAGAACAATTGTTGTGCATGCAAGTTGGAGTTATGAGAATATGCAGTCGGATTTTTTTTTTTTGAGAATTCCACGACTTTTTAAGACATATTTTAATAACATGTGCTCTATCATCTTCATATGTAGAGCCATTATCAGCTTCTCAGGATAAGATATGTATACAATGTATAAAGACATTTATTGACAATATTACATAGAATGTGATAAAAAAAAACTTGATACATATCGTTATCTTTAATTGCTTACCTCAATAAATACTCAAGTAATTTAATCTTTAAAGTATTAGTTATAACAGAACAGATTCCATTTATGCCTACATTTGCAAAACAGAAGCATTATGTGATCCATAGTCACCTACATTCACTTGTGACACAGATTATGTAAGCTCAAGTTGACTGCGTGTCTTGTGGTAATGCATGTCTTAACATATTTCACTATCTTTGTATATTTAAGGTGTTTGCAAACAATGCCAAGAACCTTCACTCTACCTCGTCTTATCCCAAGAATTATCTGATTATCAGTCATGTCCAATTAAAGAGAAGGAACGCGGATATTACCTTTGCCCATAGATTACTGCATGCTAAACATAAAAAAGAACACTTTCTTAACAAATATTTTTTTTAAGAAAAATGGATACATAGTTAAGTTCTAAGTTTAAAAACTCCTACAGTGTAAGAATTCTTTACTGTTTTGAACTATTCACAATGCAGATCAAATATGTAAGAAAAATGTATTTTTGTATGTATTAATATCAGACTTTAAACTACAGATTCACAGATTAAATGTTTGATTTTTTCGAATTTGCTCACGCTGATTTTCTAAAGATAAAACATGCAAGTTGCATGGTTCACACTTTGACTTATCTCCGATTCATTACGATCCCCATCCTGTTGTAACACTTTCAGTAAGAACTTTGAAATTTTCATACTCCATGCGAAACATTAAGCATGCTTTTGGCGCGTTTTCTCTTTCCTATTATCTTCATGTAATGATTTCGCCGTCTTGTCATATTAACCTGTCTGACGTGTTACGCCGATTCTCATCACTGACTCTATCCTGCATTATCTCCGTCTTCCTGTGTGGTTTCTCGTTAAATTGAAAAAAAAAATGTTTCGTAAAAAATCTCCTTGTGTTTTCGACTATTTTTATTAAAGCAGATATTTGTAAGAACGTTTTTAGTTGTTAGGAATATAAATGCATATTCTTAGCTCAAAAATGATAAAAATAGACTTTTAAAACTGCTTTCCCAAGGGTGATGTTTTTTAAGGGTTTTTTTTTTCGTTTGGTTGTTTACATCTATCATCAAAATTCCTTTATTTATAGTCATGAAAATAATTCTTAGTATTATCATTTAAATGTGTTTATAAAGGGAAAATTAAAGTTGGAAAATCTTATGCAAAATAAAAAATATTTATTATCATTTTATACCCCACATTAATCTTTGAAGAACAGAACATAATTTAAAAAATATATGATAAACTCCTGGAAGGACAATAAATAATTTCAGAGCTGTTTACATAATCATTTAAATTTTTAACATCTATGCATAAACATAATTTCAATCACAAATTAGACAATGTTTGGATCAGATATTAGAATTAGGTAGAACATGCACAAAATTAAATTGAAAAAAGGGCAGGTTTCATTAATAAAAGCAGAATTATTCTATTTATTCTATTTTTAATATTGTTAGATGAATCATAATGATGTGTTTTATATGAAAATAAAACTAATTATTTTGACAAATTATATAATTTTTTATTAATTGTTTTAGTTTCTTGGTGACTGGTACATGGTTAAAAGAAAGCCTACAGGAGCTAATAAGATAAAAGTGGAGAAATACGCGTGGCACGTGACGAAGGGGCGGGACAATGTCCTCGACGTCAGGCAAACAGGAAGGTAAGGATTGAATATTTCTTTGAAAACTCTTTAAAAACTTGGTCCTGGGATCATCTAAAACACACCTTGCATTAATTAAATTAAGTTTTACACAAATTTTGTAGAATACCAACAGTCATAATTTAAAGGTTTTTGGTGATCGTTTTACTTATGAACAGTAATTTGCAACTTTTTTTTTTTTTTACACGTGCAGGAAATTTAATTGTTTTAATTGTTTTATCGTCTTTATCGTTTAAGATTTTTTACCTTCATATTTTTTCGCCTCATTATCTTAATGTGATTAGATTGACCCTATCTTCGTTATAACTAGCATCCAATTCAAGGAGAGGACGTTCTAAGTATTAAGTACTTGTGTCCAATCCTTTTGTTGTAACATCTTAACAATAAAATATGTTCAAACCAACTAGCATCCAAATCTTTCTTTTAAATATAAACTAAGGTCTTCTTCCAAAACACCCTTTAATTTTTTTTTAACTTGTTTATTTAATTTGCCACATTTTTTCAACACTAAACATTTCTAATTTACACTAGTCGTATTTTTCCCCGAAATTGAGGTTAGGAAATCAAACGACGTCAATATTTTTAAAATGTACCAACTCTTTATTTTTTAGATTTACCATTGACGGAGTTTACAGACCCTGTTTTAACAAAAGTGCTACTCTGACTCCAGGCGACAACAATGGAGAATTTGTCTGGGAGTCAAAAACTAGTAAGTACGAAAGTTCGGCTAGTTCAAGAAAGCTATATCTAGGTCACTGCTTAATGAAAGATGAATAGGTTTACTCATGTCTTTGAATAATTATTGAAATGATTATAAACGCTCTTGTGTAATATTTACATTTATTTAAGGAAAATTCTAAATGCATTGAACCCATGACTCTATGCCAAACTGAGAGAAATCTTAGACTTTTTCGTGATTTCTTGAAAAAGAGCAAAAAATATATGTGGCTGAACTATACATTCGACAAAAGAAAACATATATTTGCTAATCATGCTAATGAGGTTATATTTCTGTATGAATTCATTCAAGTGTTGTACTAAACAGATATTATTTATATCTATTCACAGAAGTCTCAAATGCTGACATTGAAATCATCAAAATGGAAGAAAACTTAGCGTTCGTAAACATGTGTGTGCCGAATAAGAAGGACGGGAAATGTGGATCGTTTGTCCTGGCACGAGATGACAGTCCAAGTGAACAGGAGATTCAAGCAATAGATACCGGAATCAACACAGAGCTTTGTGAAGACAGTTCAAAGTTCGATAACCTTATAAAGCAAGATATCGAAAGTAAGCTACTCTTAAATATGCATTTATTTTATTTTCCTTAAAAAATTAACTATAAGATTCTTTATTTCACATATGTTTTATTAATCTAGGTTTAAATATTAATTACATTTTTCATTAACTATTATCCCCCTTCACATATAAGAAATCATTGAGAATCGACTTTAAATGTTCTCACTCATCATCATAAACATCAACAGACTTTTGTTAGTATTTTTTATAGTAAAAATTGCAATTTAAAAAAAAAAATAAAATAAAATGTTATGAATATAAAATCATGCAAAGAATTTTATTTTTTACCGCTGCTAAAAACCTGAACTATTTGCTTCACCTTTTTAACCAACACGTGATTTTATTTTTATTTTCCAGTATGTCCATAGCCTCTGGGTGTTTTCCTGCAACATACTCGTCCTTCATTTGTACATAAACTTTTGTATTTTAATAGTTTTAGTGAATCCAATGTTATCCTGTTATTTATATTTATTTTTATTTAATAAATTATATTTTGAATATTTTTTCTTTTATTTTGTCATTCATGTACCATGAATACGATAATAATAACTTCTATAGCATACTCTGAATGAAAAGAGCCTTTTTATTTTATTTCTTTTTGATACAAATCGATATTGATTAATTGTATTTAGTTACACTGAGGCAAAGCCTTGATTGAAATTTTGCTGAAACAAAACATATAGAGATAATGAACAGTATACAAGTTCAAAAGTCCATAAATAAAATAAAAAAAAAAGGAGCAGAGCAAACACAGACCTCCGAAACATCAGAGGTGGCATCAGGTGCCATGGAGGAGTGAGCATCCCCTGCCGACCGGTCACCCACACCGTGTGCTCCTTGTCATGATCGGGAAAAAATGGAAAAGTCCGTCTTCAATTCAGTGTATAAATAATGGACTAACAATTAGTATGACAAACTTTAGTCAGCATTTGACTCAATGATAAATTGCATTTGCTGACATGGTCATTGTATCAACCATAGAACTTACGAAATGCTGACTTTTAAAGAGACTGCTAATATTCTTGTTTCATCAACTGGTTTTTCAATATTTTAACTCGTTTTTGAAACTGTACATACGTAAAGCATGCTCTTGCGTATCGAATCAACTGAGATACATAAACTCCATATGCAGGAGACGAAGGTATATTTTTGCATAAGTAATGGAAGTCGAGACACGGTTTTGATACAAGTATTGCCCTGTGGTTTTCTTAAAAATGAAACTGTCTGAAAATGTCTGAATAATTCAATAAATCAAACAAATCAATTCTCTCACATGCATTTCTCAATGCTAATTGAATGAAGACGTCATAAACATGTGCATTTTTCTTTTATTTAAGAGACCAATCGAATTTCCAATCAGCTAATATTGTCCACAGGCTCTGCCCACAAAGATTTTGATACATGAATTATTGAATTGTAAACAATATATCCCAAAATTAAAATGGACACTATTTTCTGAAGGAAAATAACCCCTCAAATGGGTCAAATTTTGAAGCTTGTCTGTTTAAAATATAGAATTTCATGAAGCATATGGAGATATCGAACACAATTCAAGATCAAATGTCCATAAAACAATACAAAATAGGGACAGAGCAAACACGGACAATATTGGTAAATCCTTATTGTATTTCTTGCTTAAACACATATATGTGTTTTTTAATGATAAACAATCTAAGTGATTTTGTTATGCAAAAAAAAGTCATTCAAATTTCATTTTAATAATCTTTTTAATGTAATTTTTTTCCTAATTTGGTAATTTTTTGAAATGTACGCTGCATTAATCTTTTATTAAGTCTGGTCTTGTTTCAGTATGTATAAAAATTGACTAAATGAAACATAAGGAGATAACGAACAGTATTCAATATCAAAGTAGGAGCAGAGCAAACACGGACCTCCAAAACATCAGAGGTTGGATAAGGTGCCATGGAGGAGTGAGCATCCCCTGCTGACCGGTCACACCCGCCGTGTGCTCCTTGTAATGATCGGAAATTATAATGAAAAATCCCTCTTCAATTCAGGGTTTGAATAATGGACTAACAAATAGTTTGAAAGAACGTCAATCAGATAAATGACGTGGTTCTCCCTTTTGTCATACTCTTTCCTGATCTATAACAATCAAATACTCAACTAATGTATATAAGTCAGTTTCAATACGTTATGAAAACATTAGAATATAAAGTGTACAATAAAGCTAATAGTATACCTTCTTTATTTGGTATAGGGGCGTGGGACTACTTTGGACAATCGATGCTTAACAGGATTATATATATATATATATATATTGCTATAACAGTAACTTGATCGAATCATGTGGAGCTGACAGGCGCAGATTATCGGATCTGATGTTTGAGTTTAATCTGATGATCCGCGTCCTGTTAAGGAGACGTGATGTGGCTCTTCGAATCAAGTTACTGCTATAATAAAAATAAATATCATATTTCCCTTTCAATCAGCTAAATATAGTAAAATAAAATTTTAGAGATCAACCATATAATCTCTATCTATTAAACAATGCAAAATATCAAGGGACTTTAAAATGCGCATGAAAAATTAACAATGTTTCTGAGTACTACGAGGGGCATTTCAAAAGTTCTGGCAAATGTTTGATAAAAAATTAACCGTTTTACGGACATTATTGAGTTTGATATCATTATAAAGATCGGAAAAATATACAAAGTAACTTTATAATACAATTAAGTTAAAGAATAGCATACAGACCATAGAAATGACGTAACAAAACACAATTCGATCAAATTAAAATTTTAAAGACAAGTTTTGCTCATTTCTCAAACCCAAGCAAAAGGACGCAAATGCCAGTTGGTGGAATGTTTACATAGACTACAATCTATCATATGATGTTCTATTTCGGAGATATTCTTGTTCTGAAATGGTTTCTAGAGACAATGTTTTTATCGAACATATATATTGCATATAAATGTGAGAAAAAAAATCGTAAGGTTAACTAAAACGAAGTTGACAATCAAAGAAAAATAGGGGATCGTGTTTCAAAATTTAATGGCATAAATTCTTCAGGCGTGTTCTAACCAGATTTGTGGGATCGATGAAGGCTCAAAAAAAGTTAAGTTTAGCGTGTCCCATATTTTCTCGTAAAATCCAAAATGGCGTCGGCGCAGTTGTAACCCCAACGTACCTCCACATATTCGCAAATTTTGATGCATGGAAAATAAATAAGATTTCACATGTCTGTGTAACATATTGTCATTTTTTGGATTCAAAAGTAAAAAGTAGTGGTGAGTTTTGGGGCGTTGAAGTTGAATTAATATGTGCACAGTTATCGCAAACCACGGCCAAAATGGATCCTCATTCTGACCGTGGTTGATCGAGGAGAGAAAGCTCATTGTGACCAATATATATGAAAATGAACTTTAAAAAAATATCGAAATATTTTATTATCTGTTGACGTCAGTTGTTGATTTCGAATGGAAACTAAACTTGCCACTGCTAAATATGAGAGGCGTAAATAAAATTACGACACTTTTTGTTCAAGCAGCCACGGGTAGGAAAGAGCTATATGCAACCATATCAAGTCAGGGACAAGATTTAGTACATTTTATTATTAAACGGGAAGATTCCTGTTACTCAAAATATATTTTATGAAAACTGCATTAATATACTTTGGTTTAATACAGGAAATGTTTTCTTTCAAACAATGGAGAGGTATATGAAAGACCGAAAATCCAAACTTATTATGTAAATAAAAATCTTAAATGAATGTCGATGATAGCATAACCGTACATAACCGTGCTCGTAAACAAACCATACAATGAATAATGGAATTGCTGATAATCAGTATAATAGTCCTACTCTACCTCTGTGCAAATTAAAAATTTCTTTGAAATATTTCTTCAAATAAGACATAAGAAGCATGTTTACGATCGTCTCATATGGATAAAAAACGCGACTTTTTAGTATGCTATACATTCTATATTCTGACGTCATTTTCGGAGTCATTGCGTCATAAAAATTATAAAGTGACGTCACAATATGTGTATATTTTTCTGACCTTTCCAATGATATCAAACTCAATAATTTCCGTAAAACTGTTAATTTTTTATTAAACAGTTGCCAGAACTTTTGAAATGCCCCTTGTATGTTTTCAGTTTCAGAGAGTGGTAATACGTTAAATACCACAGTGGAGTAAAATCGGATGACGTGATACACAGTTAAATTAATAGTAAAATTGAGTGATACACAGTTTGGTATATAATAAAAAGGAGAACTTTTTAATACATGAATAAAAAAAACATGATAATTACAATTTAACTTTTACATAGTTAATGATATAGGGAACAAATGTGCTTTTAAGGAAAAAGTCATTGTTTCTCACGCAGGTGTACATGGGACCTTTTGTTCTCCAGTTCCTTTTTTTAAATCTAAAGATTGATTTTCATAGCATGCAGTAAATTAAAAACATTCACAATATTGAACTTATTAAATATTTTTTGAAGAATTTTTGCCATAATTTAATTATCGCCTAGTACATGTATACCTTTTTTAAACACAAATATTCATTTTCTCTCTGATGTTAATTCAATTTATTTTATCAAAATCGAAATTAAAGATAACACACAATCTGATACATTTGTTTTGTAGGCGTAAGGTTAACTAAAAAGAAATATATCCAACTAAGTTTTACGACAAACCTTATGACATCAAGTTTTCTTTGTCATTTTTTTACGTATCAATATATCATTACCACCTGTGCATGGCTTTCATGTTTTCCAGCTGAATCAATACGCAAAAGCGGTTTCTAAGTACTAAACGCAATTTAACGTGACTGGCTTATGATAGTTAATAAGTTATAATTTATTAAAATCTCATATAAAGTAATTATTTCCTACAGTATACTCAAGGCCTTGTTTGGAATTTAATTGATCTTTGGGTCCTTTACATGATCTTCTTTTGCTTTGCTAACTTTCAGAGTTATTTTTACGAATTTTAATATAATTTTTTTTTCTCTCAATGATTAATTTAAATAAGTCTATCTTATGCACAGTGGCCAAATATGAATGATGATCCATTCAATGAAGGTGACTAAATAAATATTATTTACAGTCAGAACTGTTTATCTTTGTTAACTATCGGTTCATTATTGGTTTTCAACTGACTATGAAAACAGACATTACAGGCGCAGTGGCCAGAGCGTCTGCTCTAGAGTCGCAAAGTAAGGATACGATTCCTACGTCGCAGGTTCGAATCCAACTGTAGGACCTGGAGGCCGGTCCGTTGGATCCCTAACAAAAAATACTAAAGTAAACTATAGTTAACTATAGTTTACTATAGTTAAAACTTTGGAACTTTGATTTACTATGGTGAAAACTTTGGAACTTTGATTTACTATAGTTGAAACTTTGGAACTTTGATTAACTATGGCGAAAACTTTGGAACTTTGGTTTACTTTAGTGAAAACTTTGGAATTTTGATCAGGTACTATAAAGCCGTGGAATTATGTTTTTGCTTCCCATTTTGTATATTGTAT